TAGAGGGGAGTGTGCACTTGTGTGGAGGTCAAGGTACAATCTGCACCTCTCACCATGAAGGCTTCAGGGATTGAACTCAGGTCATCAGCCTTGATGGCCAGCACCTTATCAACTGAGCCACTGTGCAGACTTTTTCCCTTCTCGTGATTCCTCAAGCAAAGCAACCATTTGCATAGCGTCTGCTTCTATTTTATCTCATAAGTAATTTAGAGACGTTGATTTAATGTACAAAGGAGGAACTGGAGAGATGGCTCAGTGGTTAAGATCACTTGCTGCTCTGCTCTTGCAAAGGACCCGGGTTCAATTCCCAGCACCACAGGGTAACTCCTGTTCCAGGGAATCTGGCTCCCTCTTCTGGCCTCTATGAGCATTGCATACACACAGTGCACATGCATACATACAGGCAAAACACCAATACATGTTTTAAAAAGTAAACAAGTCTTTTAAAAGAATGAAATTTGGAGTATTTACTGACCTAGCAGGGAAAAAGAGAATGAAATCTTTTAGTTTGCAGCAGTGTAGGTGTCAAGTGAAATAAGCCAGACTCAGAAAAACAAGCACCACGTGATGTCATAGAGGCTCATTTCCTGGTGTTGAGAGTGGGTTTAGAGGCTCATTTCCTGGTGTTGAGAGTGGGTAGGTGGCTCCCGGAGCCTGGCAGAGTCGGAAGAGGGTGATGGGAAATGGTGATCACTGGTGCTGGGTTACAGTTATATAGGAGCAGAGGGCTCTACACAGCAAGGCCCTGAGAGCCACTGTGAGGTCCTTTCCAGAAGGAAACATTCGACGTAGACAGCTGGGTGGGGTAAGAGCACCTGTTTGTTATGATAAATCTTTCCGCCAAAAGCTGCCGAGCCCCACGGCCACGTGTGCACTTTTGGCCAGCCACCCGGCCGAGTTAGGCCCAAATGAATACACAGAAACTTGTATTAGGTTCAATGCTGCTTGGCCAATGACTAGGATTCTCATCTGCTAGCTCAGTCTTAATTATCATAAATCTATATATGTTATAAGATTTATCTTATCGGATGCCTTATTGGCGTCCCTCCTCGCCGGTGGATCACATCCTGCCACTGGAGAAGGAGCAGAGGGGAAAAGAGACACACTTCCTGTTTCCTTGCTTAGATATGAGTTTCCTTGCCATGTCACTTCCTGTCTGGATCATCACTTCTCTACTACATTTCCCAGAATCCTCTTTGACTCTTAGTCCTTGCTTGACATTGGCCAAACAGTATTTTATTCAACAATCAATAAGATAAACATACAAAGAAGTACATTCCCCATCACCTGTTGGTCTTGCAAAGGGCCCTATGATGGCTCCATGACTCCAGTTCCAGAGGGCCCAATGCTCTCTGGTGCCATAGGCACCAGGCAAACACATGGTGTTCATATGGACATGTAAGTAAAATATTCACACATAAATTTTTTAAGATCTAATAAAATTTTTAAATATTACATAGTACTCCACTAATGTATGCAATTTTATGCCTTTATGTGTTAGTTAAAATAAACTAAATAAGTCGTGGGCTAGCTGGCGAGGCGGGCCAGCAGTTAAGGGCACTGGCTGCTCTTGCAGGATTCCTGGGTTCCATGCCCAACACTCATTGGTGGCTCACAGCCATCTGTACCCAGTCCCAGGGCATCTGACACCGTGTTCCGGCCTCTGCAGGCACCAAGTGTGTATGTACATTGTGCAGACACACACATGCAGGCAAAACAGCCACACACATTTAAAAAGGGCAAAAAGGGCTGAGGATGCTGCCCCTTTACACAAAGACTTGAGCACCGTGGATGCTGCATGGATGCTGAGGGAGACTGAGCACGGCTTAGGGCGTTGGAGGACAGAGGGGACATCTGTTTGTTTTTAGCTAAAATAAGTCCCTTTTTTTACCTGTACTATCAAAAATTCTTTTTTTCTAATTGTATTTATTTATTTATAGATTTTACTTAAATTAGAAAGTCTTATTTTACATATCAATCCCAGTTCCCTCTTCCTCCCATGTCCGCCACCAACCCCCAAAAATACCTTAAAATTAAAAGTCTTTACTACATCTTGCCTTCACAGTGAGGCCCACTTGACCACTCCATTTCTTTATTGGTGCTGGGGAGGAAACCCAAGGCCTCATCCATGCTATGCAAGTGCTAGATGGCCAACCAGACTCTAGCCCTGACACCCTACAACACTAAGGCTAGCCCCCCCACCGACTCCCACCCACCAGAACATCTGTGGCTCCCAGAGTTTGGTTCCTGGTGGTGTTTCTTTGTCCCTGTCCTCAGACCAGGGAACAGAAAAACTCCAGGCTGTGAGGCAAATCCAACCTGTAGCCTGTTTTAACCAAGCTCCAGAGCTAAAGATAATTTTCTGTATTTTAATGTTAGAGAAATCAAAAGGAAGGCAAAGATTTATGACAGCTGAAAACAAGATCGCATCCCAGCTTCTGCAACTGCAGATCCTGTCCCTGGAACCCGGCCATGGGTACTTGTTTACATCCTGTCTCTGGCTGCTTTCTGCCATGGAGGCAGAACTGAGGGACTCTGTGGCTATGTGACTCTGTCTCAGAGTATTTGGCTCCTTGAAGACAAAGTCTGCTGACCCCTACGTCTGGATATCTCCATGGAAACGTAGAGGATCCCCTCCCTTTTGTATTCCAAGTACCGAGAACACTGCCAGCACACAGTAGGTGCTTAGCAAACCTACCTGAGTGAATGGAGGTGCGTGTGGAGCCTGTTGCTTCAGCCTGCTAAGGATTGTGATCAAGACACACACAACCCCGCCACCATTACCATCACATTCTCCAGTTCTGTCTGGCATACAGCACTACACAGTCTCCTTAAGCACTGGGAAAGGCATCCCCGGGGGTGCCAGTTGCTCCAAGTCCCTGGAGGAGGTCATGGAGAGGGCGGCAAGTCCTGACCTTGGCACCAGTAGGGTGGGCCTCTGTGTCTCTGGGATGGGGCATGCCTGGCTTGTTCAAAGGGATCACTTGTCACCTGCTGTTGGCCAGGGTTGATGGGCTATGCTGTGTGGGTTGCACTTTGCTGCTCTCTGGTGGTCATTTGGAGAGGCTGTCACCAAGGAACATGTGATTGAGCTTCGTGGGACACCTGCCTTCAAACCCATTAGACCAACTTACCAGAAATGTAGGAACTTGTCAGCCTGGGCTCTGTCCCTCCCGGCTCCCCACTCACTGATCCTGTCCCTGGAACTCCCTCCCCTTCGGGTATCAGGAGTCACGGCAAGTCGTCAGGCTAGTCTGAGATGCTAGCTACCTCTCTCTCCTAGGGCTCTGGAGGACATCCAGCTTGACGCTACTAGTGTGCACTCCATCCTGACAGTTGGAAGGTGGCCTTGATCCCTACTGACCAGAGAGCACCTAGAGGGCTGCGCGGTGGAAGCCTTGTCTGTTCCTTGTGTTTTCTGCATATCTGGAAAGACCCCTCTGATGGTGAGGACTGCTTGGTGCAGAAAACTGACTGCTCCATGAGCTGTTGTGAGAATGGGGAGTGGGTCTTCAACCAACCCCAACGTGCACTGAGGAGTGGTTTATGGTTTGGATTCAAAATATTCTCCCAAAGGCTTAGGCATTTGAAGGCTTGAATCTTTTTGTTTTGTTTTGTTTTGTTTTTGTTTTTTTGTTTTTTGTTTTTTGTTTTTTGAAACAGGGTTTCTCTGTATTGCTTTGGAACCTGTTCTGGAACTCACTCTATAGAGCAGGCTGGCCAGAGATCCGCCTGCCTCTGCCTCTGCCTCCTGAGTGCTGGGATTAAAGGCATGGGCCACCAACGCCTGGCCGAAGGCTTGATTCTTACACAGCAGTGTATAGACGTAAGACCTTTGGGAAATGACAGGCTTATAAGAGCTCTGGCTTCACTGATGGATTAACCCATTGATGACTTCATAACTTGAAGAGAGGTGATAAGAGGGGGGACTGGCTGAAGGGAGTGGGTCCTGGTGCACGTCCTTGGGAGTTATACCGGTCCCAAGCCCTTCCCCAGGTGCTTCCTGGCTGCCCTGAGTCAAGCAGCTGCTCCACCATGCCCTCCCTAGCACTAACTACAAGGCCCAAGAAACGAAGGACCAGATCCTCTCAAACTGTGAGCCAAAAGAAACAGTTCTTGATTTTTCTGAGGCATCTTGGCAGGACAATACGTTGACTCAGGATAATCACATGCTTCTCACCACATCCTCGCACCACCAGCAGCTGCTCCTTGCCTGCCTCTGCCTCAGAAACCCCAGGCTCTGCCTAGGGGGCCCCCCCCCCCCCCCCCCCCCCCCGTGGGCAACGGTGTGTTTGTGATAAGCAGGGAGGGTGCGTGGAAGATGGGTGGGCAGATGCGTGAGTGGAGGGAGCACTGAGATCCTGTAAGAGGATGAGCTGAGCTCTGCAGAACTCTGGGCCTGGCCCAGGTCCCCACTCCTCTACCGTCTGGCCACTTTGGGTTCTAAATACCCTGGCCCCTCCACTCCCTGTGCCCGCGCCATCCACTCTTCACCCACTCCCACCTTCCCTGCCATCCCGGCTCCCTCACACCAAGCCCACCACGGCCATGGAGACCTTACAGAAGCTGTCACCAAATGTAGATCACTGTTCCCCAGAGATGGCACCTTTCCCAACCCTCCACCCAGGCTCCCCAGCTGCCACTCATCTTCATAGCACATATCACCAACAAAAATGCTTGCCTCCTCACCATCTGTCCCCCCATGAGGAGGCAGCACAGGGCAGGGACTTTGCCTTTCTCCCCCGTGTCACTACCTAAGTAGATTCTGACCTCACCTTTGGCGAATAAAGATAACTTTACACCCTTACGCCCTTGGTTGCTAGTTCAGCATACAGTCTCACCAGACTGATCAAGAAGACACATGCAATGCCAAACTCCAGCACAAGGGGGCGGTAGGATCTGTGCGCCTCATATGCACTAGGCAGCCTCCCTCCCCTCTCTGGGTCTGTTTCCTCATCAGAAAAAGAAACTGCAATTCACAAGGGAGAAGTGAAACCATCTGAAATGAGAAAACAAGGCTTTTTGAGCTGTATTTATTGCAGCGTACATACCACCACAGTCAGCACCATCAAGAGCTCTGAGCAGCCTATGCCAGGGGACAAGGTGACCAGGTGCATGCTGCCTAATCAACCTACATGGCTTAGGAGTCAGGGCCACTGGGGGTGATGTTAACACAGGAGCTGGAGCTGGGCCCCAGTTCTTGGTGCTGCCTGCAGGTCTGAGTTAAAATCTGGCTATCTTACAAGAGCTGCAGATTGCCAGCCTCTCTGAGATTTCTGCTGTCAGCCCTGCATTCCCACACTCAACAGCCCCTGTGGGTGAGGACGGTCTCGACAGTTCCCACTGTACCCCCTGCACCCCCAAGCTGATGGTTATCACCATCCGGACTGCACATAGCTCACCATTGCGTCTCTCTGTCTGGTCTCCGGTACTGATCAAGGCCAAGGCAAAGCAGGTCCCACTACTCTATCCCACTCATGTGACTCATGGAGGGAAAAGAGGGCACCTGAGCTGTGGCCTTTGACCCAGCCCACCCCTCCAGCAAAGGGAAAGGGTAGAGACGGGTCGTTTCACTCATACCATCCCTCCAGGCAGCTACATTGCCTAAGCCTGAGCTGGTTTGCTTTAGAAGTTCGCAGGTTGGGTTCTGAGGAGAGGGTGTAAGTCTGAGGCTGACTGTAGTGTTGGTGTGCCCTCTGGTGGCCTCTGGGTACCACTGCAGGCCATGGAGGAGGTTTTTAAACCAACAGCTGATGGACCTCAAAACAGACTGGGGGGAAGCTCACAGACACCAAGACATGGGCTTCGGGGCACTCCCCTTGCACGATCCTCTTGCCTCGCTCCCAACACTTAGTCACTCTCCTGGACATTGTGACTGCCACCCCAGTGCCCAGCATAGCTAGGGCCTGCCAGGCTACACCCTTTAGGGGCAGTCTCCAGTACCCATTCTTCAGATCTCTATGACTTTCTTGAGGCTGACACAGAGGAGCCCCGGGTGTTTTCCTGGGATAGTCCGTAGGGGATGGAGAGGGCAACGCTCAGGTGCTGGGGGGTCAGGCACACACAGCAGGCCAGGTGAGGCGTCTCTATGTCCTGCTGGAGATGGCACTGATACTGAGAAGCCTGTGCCCACAGAGTCATTCTTCAGGAGGTGCGGCCTTTGAGGCAATACATCCATTTAAAAGGCTACCTCAGGTGCGTAAGTCACCCAGACCTGTGAGGCCTTGTTAGGCAGTTGGGTTCAGGCCAGGGCCCTCACTGAGGAGCTCTGGGGCTGTGCTGCCAACAGAACTTTCGAAGACGGTGAGTATAAGCCACGGTTTTTCAAAGTGTTCTTTATTGAGTAGTTTGTAGCCATCACCATGGGGGACCCTGAGAGGCAAGGGAGAGAGAAAATTCTTGGACTCATTTCAGAGGTTGTGACACTGAGACCAAGGCAGGCTCCTGGCAGGCTCAAGGTCATAGTGAATAGCCACCACAGATGCATCTCACAGTAGACCAGGGGATACAGGTGCGTTCCCTCTCCACCTGGCCACATCTTCCCATAGAGCCCTGAGAGGGCCATCACCTCACAGCATTGGGGTGGTGACTCCAGGTGCACTTACAAGCATGTACACACACACTCACACACACACACACACACACACACACACACACACACACACACACACACACACACACACAGAGCTCTGTGGCAAACAGCCCAGTGGCTCCCCCAGCAGGCAACTCACACCTGCTCATAAAGCCTCAGAGCTCAGGTCATAACAGATGCCCTGCAGGCCTTGTGAGCGAAACAGACATCCTAAGAGGTCCTCAGCAGAGGCCCATCAGGCCAGGCGTGTGGCCGTCACCCCTGGCAGCCTCACCAGTTGGCCTTCACTGCCTTGATGTCACTCATGAGGTTCTGGGCCAAGCAGATGCCAAATATCTGTAAGACAGAGAGCATGTAAGGAAAAGCAGACGGCTTTGGGTGGGCGGAGGGGAAGTAAGGCGAGGCTGTACCTGGAGGAGGGCAATGCCCACCAAGACCCCAGCCACCACAATCAGGTTGTCTTGTAGCCACTTCTCAAACTGGCCCACACAGCCTTTGGTGTAGATGGAGCCCTGCTGCTCAAGCTCCTGAGGACACACAGGACCAAGCTCAGCCTGCCCGCCCCTGTGTGCCTCAGCCCAGGTCTATACCTCTTCTCTCTTCCCAAGCCCATGCCCATACCAGTGTCCTCCCCAACTTCTGGTCCCTGGAATTCTGCCACAAGGCCTTTATAAAGATGGCTCCTTCTCCTCGGGTCTTAGCCTGGCTCTCTGCTCTGAAGAGGCTTTCTCTGAGCACACAGACCCTACCTTATCAACCTCCCAAGTTGTCATGACTATCCATATCAATGTCTCTCCACGTTCACTGTCTTTGAGTACAGAGACAATGCATTAGCACTGGGTCACCAAGGTCTAGAGCAATGCCAACCACAGCAGGTACTCCACAGGGATGGAATGAGCAACCCGAGACCTCAGACCGGGCCAGTTCCACCCCAAAGAAGCCCTGAGACCTGCCAAGTGAGCTTATGAGAGGCCACTATGCCACCCCTGTATCCCAGGTACCCTCAACCCTGTCCCCACCCCTCTCACCAGTTTGAGTCGGATGTCATAGCCACACTGGGTATTGAGGACATCTTCCTGAGGGGGAGACAGACCATTAGCAACATGCTAAGGGGACCCCATGGTCTCACTGGGTCCTGGACTACACAGAGAGGCAAACAGAAGCTTGGGTTTTGTGGTGCCCACTCATCTACTGTGAACTCAGCTCTCTCATGGACGGACACCAGAGCACAGTGGCATGCACCTCTTATTACTCCGAGATCCTGCCTCCGCCCATGGTCCCACTCACCGCAGGGTCCCTAACACAGCAGGAAAAGGGCACCCCACAGCGCTCACGGCTTGGGTTCAAGTCAGTGCAGTTGAAGTAGATATTGAGGTTCCAGTCATTGGGCCCTCGGGCACCACAGCAAGACCACTAGGGAGAGAGGAGAATCTGTGGTTCAGGGGTACACAGAAGGCAACCAGGTCTAACCCTAGAGCTTCATCCTCCCTGTTTGGGGCAAACCCAAAGGAGAGGGCGGGCTGACTGGAAGGGGCAAGCCCAATCCCCCCATCAGACAGGATTGAGCCCATAGGAATCAGAGTGGGTAGATGACTGAGAGGGTGAGGCTTTGCTTGAAGGCTGTGGCTTCCTCATGGATCTCTCTGAGGGACAGGAGCAAGACCAAGCCCTGAGGGACAGAGGCACTATAGACCCTGATATCTGCAGTAGGTCTCTCCACACTTGCCCCAGAGGTTTTGCAAAACCTTCACCACAGGGACAGGAGAGAAACCCAGGCAGCTCTCCCATCCCAGCCCACTCCACAAATGTCTCCTGGCATCACGCCGGAGCCACCGTCCCCCTCCCCAGAACACCCTTGCTAACCTTCCCACATGTGGCCATGGCAAGCCCAAGTCTGCAGTGCAAGAGGCATAGTGTGAACGGTACCAGCTGCTGAAAAGCTCACTGTGAGGGCTGGGGAAGCTCCAGGATGAGCAAGAGACAGCTCTAGTGACAGACACAAGCCCTGTGAGCAGAGCCAGGAGCATGATGCCCAGCCATGTGGCTGTGTGTGCAGGACTCAGACACAACTGAGCCAGCACCTGCCCCATCACCTGCTAAGTGCCTGCTGGCCCTGCTGGGGAACAGTCTTGTTCTTCACACCACCCACTCCTTCTTTCCCTCCTCAGGGAGGCATCAAGGTCACATTCAGGGGCTTCCCTCCCCGCCTTCTCTGCTTCAGCCCTCGCCCCCACTTTCCCCACCTCCCCTCTTCGCCCCGTTCTGTATGCTCAGCATCGTCTCCCGACTTCATTACCACACTGCCATCACGAAGGGAACAGGCCGCACATTTTAAAATCACTGAATCTCCCCGCACCTGGCTCAGGGCCTGTCCTACTTCCATACTGAATAGAGACAGAAAGCACATGGGAACTTCAGGCTACATGGCTGCTTCTGCCCCTGGCAGCTCCAAGACACTGCTGAATCCCACGGCCAAATCTTAATGAAGGTAACTGGGTGTGACAGGGTATGGCCCCAAGGAACCGTGAGGACTGGAGTGTACAGGTGGGAATGGTTTCATGGCTATAAGTCTAGAACTTGAAATTATAGACTGTGCACAATACTTGACGAAAATAAGCAACTATGCTCCAGCTGGAGAGACAGACAGTGGTTAAGAGCACTGGCTGCTCTTCCCAAGGACACAGGTTCAATTCCCAGCACCCACGTGGTGACTCACAGTTATCTGTAACTCCGGTTCCAAGGATCCAATGCCCTCTCCTGCCCTCTTCAGGTATCAGGCACACACATGGTGCGTGCACGCGCACACACACACATGTATGTATGTATGTGCATATATACATTATATATATGCAAGCAAAACTCATATACATAAAATTGAAAAGAGAGACTAACAACTGTGTGGTTCTGATGTCTGCACAAGGACAAACTCATCCAGCAATGTATTTCTCAGAGGGGCTCTGTTACCAAACCTAAGTGGCTATGTGGGAAGTGAAAGAAGGCTGTAATTTCATATAAAATCTGAGGCACGGTAATGGGGCATCAGCAACATAGCCACTGCAGGTACTCTGGGCCCAGACTGAGGAGAAAAAGAGACTTCATTGTATGTTCCATTTCCTCCTCTGGCCACAGTTTCACAAGCCTGTGTCCCTACAGGGCTAAAGCCTGGGGAATGAGCAGGAGCTGGCTTCTCCTGGGACAGGGACTCTCCTAGGTTAGTTCCTTCCCTAGCATCTGCTGGCCTGGGTAGTGAGGAAGTGGTCCGTGCACACAGAGAATTTACTCCCTCTCATGTGCCCATCAGTGATGGCTAGTATGGGGCCCATGATGAATAGATATTGCACTCACATATTCCTGAGCAAAGTCGATAAGGTTCTGAAGGTCAATATCATCCCGGTAGGCTTTGACATTGCTGTTGATGAAGAGATTGAGCTGGTCTCGAATCCAGTCTTTGAAGACAAAGGCCAGGATCCCTGCCGCCAGCTCCAGGAAGAAGATGAGGCCAAGGAACACGGAGAACTGGGTTGGGGGCATACAGACGGTAGGCATTGGATTGGCAGGTCAGGGGGCTCCACAGGCAAGAGCTCCCCACTACCTCTGCCAAAAACCAAGGGAGCTGCAGTCTCCAGTCCCTACCCGCTATTTGCCCCCCTCCCAGTGCTGCATAATGGAACCCAGAGGCCTGCGTGTGCTAGGCAAGTGCTCTACCACTGAGCTTGCTCCCTGCCCTTTAATACTGCTTTGTGTTGACAAAAGACTGTGGTTTACCTGTTCCTTGTCTGGTCACCATGCCTAGGCAAGAACTGAATGGAAAGTAGTCAGGGGTCTCCAGTGTGTCTGGGGTAGAGAGACACTTACAAACTTGAGCAGAAAGGTGTTTTCCCGGAGGGCTCCAATACAGCCAGCGAAGCCCAGCACCGACATGACACCCCCAACCACCACAAACAGCCACACAGGATCAAGGCCACCTAGATCTGTCAGTGCTGAGATGTTGGAGAGAACACCCTGCAACAGGGGAGTGGACAGTGAGGGGGTGATCCCCCTCCCACTTCACCCCTGAGCCCCACTCTCTTACCTTCTCGCCCCAGGCCCAGAGGCCAATGGCCAGGAACAGGGCTCCCAGCACCTGCAAAAACAGCAAGAGCTCAGAGTAGGGCACCAGCACCAGGACGGACTCTTCCTTACACCCCATCCTTGAAGACCATCAGGAAGCTGAGGGAGAAGGGCCCAGGCTGTGAATGGGACTTGGCAGTGCACCTCCCTAGGAGGATACTTCTCGGGGAGTCTTTCAAATAGGCTAGCTAGAGGAACTGAAGCCACCCAAGCCTCAGACTGGACATCAGCCCCTTCCTGGACTCTCTCCACATAGAGCAGAATCCTGCTGAGAGGCTCCCCAGGCCCAGAAAGCATCTGACCTCAGGTGTACTTGTGCCTTTGTTTTGGTTTTGGTTTTTTGAGACAGGGTCTCAACATAGTCAAGACTAGCCTCCAACTCACAGTGTAGCTGAAGATGACCGTGGATCTTGGCCTTTTTGGGTGCTCTACCCAGAACCTTTCTCTCCCTCTCGTGCCTCCTCGCCACTCAAACCCCAGCTGAAGCCCACCAGCCGCTCCAGCCACCTGGATATCTCTTCATTTGCTTGGATAAGCACCACGGGGCCAAGAGCAGGGCTGGCCTCTTCTCTGGTATGCTCACAGGACTAGCAACTGCCTGGGGCACTGAGGGGTCTGAAACGGGGGTGGGGGGAAGATGTGGGGTCTGGACCCAGAGAGAGGCCAGCATCCCAACAGGCTGAACTGACTGTGGAGAGGAAGGGGGATGGGCGGTTAGGGCTGGAACCCAGGGTGAAGGGCAAAGACAGGGCAGAGGGAGAAGGCGGTGGAGGCTGGGGAAGTTAGAAGAGGAGGAGGAATGGGCTTGGGCTGAACAGGGAGGGGTTTGGGAAAAACAAAATGTTAGTGGGTCTCTTGCCCAAAGATGAGATGATCAGATGGGATGGGGCTGGAGAAGAGATGCTTTGGTTGTGTGCCCGCATACCAGCACAGAGAAGGCATTTCCAGGAGAAGCCAGCAGTGGACAGAACCCAGGGCCAGGGAAGGAAAAGATGGATGGCGGGGGAGTGTCTCACTGTACTCTAACGGTGTGTCCTCCTCACAGAGGAGGGAGCTACCTGGGGTCAGGGGGGAGAGTGTGGTTGGCCTTGACTATCATGGCTCTCCAAGCAAGGAACTGAGGCAAGATAATGAGAAGGACTGATGCAGGGAACACAGGCTGCCCAGATGAAGAGTCTGTTGATGCCCAGATGGTAGAGCCAGGAAGAGCGGCACAGACCTATAACCCCCACACTTGGGAGTGGAGCATCAGGGATTCAAGCTCCCAGACCCTCCAAATTTCCAGATCCTCTGTCACCCTCCCATATAGCTGCAGCCAGCTAGATCTGACCCAATTCTGCTCCATGCTGCCCAAGCACAGAACCTCAATGCTCTCCCACCTTCACTCCCCTGCCCAGACCACGGAACAAAGCCAGGAAGGACTTCATGCCCCTCCCCAGCCTGGCAAAGAATACACACTCAGAGTTACTGTGTGCTTGCTCCTCTGCCTTACCTCCAGCCACTGATAAGCATCTGCTGCTCTCAGCAAATGACTTAACGTCTCAGTGTCTATTCATTCAGTTCCCTATCTGTAACTATAGATAATAACAAGGTAGTTGGGAGAATGTGCCTCATTAGAACTCCTTTAATATGAAACTCGGTGTGATGGCTCACACCTGTAATCCCAGCACTCAGGAAGCTCAGACAGGAAAACTGCAGCAAATTCCAAGCCAGGATGGGCTACAGGGTGAGACCCTGTCTCAACAAAAATTATTATTTAATCTAACAACCAAGAAGGACAAACTCCAATACCACCCACTCCTAGGCTGGAAAACTGAGGCCCAGAGAGTAAAGGTGTCTTGCCCAAAAGCCTCTGGACAAGGCCTGCTACACTCAGGCCCTCTGACTTCAGGGCAGTGCTCCCGGCAGCTGCACATATCCCCCAGGGCCCACTTCTGGGATCCAAGGGCACCCACCACAGGGCAAAACCAGCAGCACGTGGGTGAACACAGTCCTTGAACGCTGCTGAAAACAAGTTGGAAAGGCCTGGCGTGAAGGAGAGCATGAAGAGCCCGCCTTGACAATAGATGGAGAGAAAGAAAAGAAAGATGACTTGGCAGGCCAAGACACAGATGCTACCCTCGAAGGGAAGCCTCTGTTCCAGCAGCTATGGAATGCTGAATTCTGTGCCCAAGGGACAGCTCCCTACTCTCAACCGAGTTCCTTCTCCCTGCAGCCCCAGAGGCCTTGGCTTTTGCTCACTTCCTGCCCTCCTGGCTCACAAGCTTCTCCACCGTGGGGTAGACTAGGGCTAGGACCCAACCGCAGGAACCTCACGCACCACGCCGGGCGGGAGCTGGAGTGCCCAGGGGGCGGGGCGGGGCTCATCCCGCAACCACCGCGCCCTTGCAGTCTTCCGGCAAGCGCCGCCCCTTTTTCGCCCAAACTTGGGGCTGCGACGCGAAACTCCCAAACCCCCTCTGCTGGGCCTGGGTCCCGCCCCCCAGGAATCCCAGCAGGTTCCCCCCAGGAGAGCTCTTGGGGACTGGGAATCGGGATGGAAGGAGCCGGGGAACAGCCCCTGAGGAGGGTCTCCCCCGCAGAAACTGAGGCTGCCTCCCTCACCCCCCTCCCCAGCGCAGGGCACGAAGCGGACCCCGCGCTCACCCAGAAGACAATGTTGAAGCCAAACAGGAAGTATTTCCCGCAGCAGCCGACTTCAGGGTCCTGGAAATGCTGGTGCTTGCCGGGCATGGTGAGTGGTCACCCGCCGCCCCGGGAACCGGAGCCG